ACCTTTTAAAGTACAAATACTTAATTATTGAGTGGGCGGGGTGGCCGAATGGGCTAACGCGTGTGCACTGCACCGACTTTGCTCGGCAACCTGATAAATGAATCAAAGATATAAAAATAGTCACGAGTTCACGTCCCGGTGCCGGGGGAGTCTTTTAAATCCCCGCTCACACCCCCTGGCCCGGGAAAATCCCGTATAGGACCAAAAAAAAAAAACTTAATTATTGAAGGAAGTTAGTCGACTGTTCTACATATCATGGGTGATAAATTTTCAGGACGCAGTCATTATAAGGTTTTTATTAGTGCCGATGTTTCAACCTAAGTATGTGGGTTATCATCAGGGTATGGTTCTAGCACTGAAAATATTCGAATACTATATTCGAACCATGTCCTGGTAATGACCCATATGTTTGGGTTAAAACGTTGGCACTAATAAAAACCTTATAATGACTGCGTCCTGAATATTTATCACTTACAAATACTTAAGTTTCCGAGATTTCTAATTAACTGAGAGGAAACTTTTTTCATAACTTTGTTTGTTATATTTTTCCTAATTTATTTTAAATTTTTTCTATGTTGGATGGCTTACAACCGTCTACCATTTTGTTTGTGTAATACTACACGAAATGCATATTCTTTACAAACTCCATAATCTCAAACTAGTTTATAGACTTGTTTTTCGATTTGCGCCCGATGATATCACTGAGAATCAGAAAAGAAGTTATTCTCGAGACATTCTACCTCATAACAGCCAACTGCAGTTTCAGTTTGTAGTCCGAGGGCAAACTCATAGTTAAGATAATTTTTTTTTTCTGACTCTACAACATCACAATATATTTACTGTCTTGTGCATAAATTAGAAGATTACGATAATATCTTTCCCAGTGAAGATGCACAATCCCAGGAGGATCGAAAAAAACACAATATTTTTTTATTTTGTTCATTCCAGCTTTTGTTTGCTCTGTGTGAAAGAAAGGCTCTTACTTTCTTTACTTCCTCTATCTACATTGAAAGGAACAAGATCCTGATCTACGTTGAAGTCCTGAAGGAGCTGCCAAAAGAAGACTTCCAGCACTGTTTCAGACATGTACGAATGTGTAAGGGTAGGAAAAATTGGGAACATTTTAATTCGTTTGTGAATTTTCAATAATGATTATGAATGAATTTCGACCACCTAACAAACACTAGTACTCATAATTACTTGAATACATTTTTACTTTCACTTACGTATATATGTAATATATAGTACGTGTAAGTATTGCGATCGAGAAAATTTTTGAATCTGAGTTTTCGACGGATTTATACGTTTTGAGGTACCCTGAGTCGAAATGACCAAGTCCCGACAAATGGTCTGTGTGTCAGTGTGTTTGTATGTTAGCAGTCTAGCTCAAAAACGAAAAGTCCTATGAAACTGATATCACGTATTTAAGATAGTTATATGCCTTAGTTGTGACGGCAACTTGTTCCTTAAAATCGGCTAACCGGAAGTGCCACTTTATATCAACGCTGAAACACATTTTTTTTATTAATATAGTTATTGAAATTTGCAACTGTATTAGTTAACAAATATAACTAGTAACTTTGAAGTTGGTAATATTACATGTACAAAATAAAGAAAAACTACCCATTGGTAGCACTCCAGTAATGGTTCTATATTAGAAGGTCTCGAGGCCATCTTATTTTCAAACGCCTGGGAGGGTTATCAGGAATAGATGAAGAAGAAAGGTTAGAAACAAGAGGGTTCGGGTGGTTCACATGTTTATTATGGAAGGATATATATCTGGATTGGACCAATTCGGACAAAGAAATGAACATTAAGGATGATTTTATTAGCGGCGAAGTAAGAATTGGGAATTTTACGAAATATTTTGGATTGTAAGGATTGGATAGAGGAATTCGATGGCTTAGTGGAGCCCCAAAGCTCAACTCCATATGTCCAGATAGGCCTTGTATAGTAATGTATATGAGTCTTTTATAGTTAATTGGGTGTTTTGAGCATTTGTCTAGTAAGTGCTGAAGTAGTCGAAAGTAGTCTGGTTTGAGGATTCCAAGTTTTTTCAGATAGAGTTCTAGATATCGGATTTGTTCAATAAAGATAAGTGGAGAATCATTCAAGGATACTTTAGGTCAGGAAGTCATAGGTTTACGACGAAGGGTAAAAGTAATCTGATGGGATTTATTGGAATTCTTAATCATCCAGTTTTGACACCATTCTTCAAGACTTGTGATATCTTATTGTATGCAATAGCTGGACCATTATTATCTGCTAGGATGCATGTATCATCGGCTTAGCTTCAATACCTAATTAAGAATTTTAATTTTGTAATTACAGGATTTTGTAGCCTGGCTGTCGATATGCTGTTATAGTATCTCATTATTTTAAAATATTGTTGTTATCCATTATTTTATAAATATTATTTATTTAATTAATTTTTGAATCAATGAAAGATATATAGTTACTGAGTATGGTACAGACTGTACAGTGGTAAAGTCATAGCTAATTAAATGGATGATAGCGACCTCAAAAGTCAGCTTATCGGGTCGATCAAATGAATACTAAAACTTGAATTAATGATTTAAAAAATAAGTTAAAATTAACATCTGGTTTGTTAGGTTCCCTTTTTTTTGGACCATTTTTCATCTTTTTTTTCTTCTTGCTTCCCTTGGAACCTTGCAATTTACGGTACCTTAAGTTTGATTTAGTGGCACTATAAACTTCCAGAGGGGGCACCTTAACTTCGTCCTTAGCCAACCACACGTAAAGTAAATTCATGTCCAAAGTTCTTTTTTTTTTTTTTACTTCTTTTTTACCTCATAAATCATTATCGTAAAAATATTTTTCGTGATCAGCTAGACCTGGTGAAAAATAGTTTTCGTAATTTCGCTACCAAAGAGCCCTGACTCCAAATTGTTGGTTTTTGTATAAATTGAAGAAGACGTGAACACGTCAAGAAGTTGAAAAAATTAGTATTAATTCAAAGATTTGAAATGTATTTTTTTTTTTTAATTTTTGTAAAATATATTTTTCTCCTGTCATGATACAAAACTTCAAAATAGATTTAAAATGAAACCAGGTTAAAAAAAAAAAAAAATAATTCGAATTACATTATATAATTACCTGTAATTACCTACATATAATTCGAATTAATCTGTTCATGTATTTTCTGAATAGAGTTTTTTCTTATAATGAATATTAAATAAGCCTTTCCTTTGACAGAATGATTAACTCCTATTTCAATGTTTTTGATTATTAATTTTAATGATATTTCTAGTGGGAAAATTTATACCTTTATTCACAGTTCTATATTTCAATACTGCAGTCACCTTCTCTGGAAAGAATTTACTCACTCTTTGTACAGATATTATAAATAAACGTCGGTCTGTTTCTTATTGTTTCAGTCTTGTATGTGTTTTTTTAGATATAAATCTAAAATTGAAAGACGTAAATTTTATATACCTTCCTAAATGAGCAATTAAACTAAAAGAAAACACCTAAAATAATTATAGAAATTCGTTCATAGATAATATATCTTAAAATTATTCTGCACTATAGTTGACCGTTTATTACGTATGGCTATTACGTAATACACGTATAATATCTGTAAAACTATATATACATGCATACATGTTCGAAAGAACAAACTTTGATATGATTTATTTTCTACGATAATACTACAGAATGGCTTTTATGCTCGTCCAAGTGCCATATATCACAGTATAGAGTATAAATCTCAACAGATACTGAAGTAAAATTTCAATAATGCAAATGAATCGCATTGATGTATGGCCAGTTAAGTATGGAATCCGACATATTTCAAACTGCCGATGAGGTTCTTTTTATCCATTCTCATTTAAGATTAACCAATAAATTGCAAATACAATTAAAAAATATATGAAGGCATTTTTTTTTTTCTATATAATCATTTAAATTTTCAAAAACCTATGACATACTGAATTGTAGAAAAACGGCCTCAGAATACCTACAGAATATATAAAAAGCATATAATTTGTTTATACAACATAGAGTTGCTATGTATATATATATATATATTTAAATTACTATAATCGAAGTAATTGAAAAGTGTTTAACTTGAGTGAGATTGATACAACAGCCGATGTACGCCTTGAACCCCGTTCGCTTTAATCACCGCTTACTTTCTCGCATATTAACGTATTTATGTCAGACATAAAGGAAATTAATTGAATTTTTAAATTGATTATGAAGAATTTCTTCAAGAAATGATTAATTTATGAGGAAACACAGATAAAGCTACGATTTTTTTAAAGTATTCAATAATTAATTGCTCATCTGTTGATTCTACATCGAAAGGTATAGTATATGCTTGAAAAGTATAGTAAATTGTATCTTCTTTAGCTTTGTGAAGATTAATATTTTCGATAAAATGTATAGTTTTGTAGTCATGGTCAGAAACTAAAAAAAAAAAGTGAAAAATTCACTGATTTTTGCATATATCTCAGAACGCAACAAAATATTTTGTTTATTAATTTCAAATTCAGATTCAACACCACGAAAAATGTAAAAAAAAAACACAGAGAAACTCCATATATAATGATTTTGACGCCGTCAGTTTTCAAAAAAACGATTATATCCTTTGTTAAGTTGAATACTCTTTTAGATATATATTCTTTACAAAATTGAGATGGGCAGATGGTGTGGCAGGTGATGCGAGATGCTCATTAAGAATGATTTTTTTTTTGACAAATCAGGGAGCATAGAGGATTTTACGAAGGATTTTGGATTGTAGGGATTGGATACGAAGGAAATTTGATGATTTAGTACAACCCCAAAGCTCGATCCCTTAAGTCCAAATAGGGCTTATTATAGTACTTAATGAGACCCGAGGAGCCAAATACATGTACGATAAGCAAGTACTTTCTGGGTCTGAATGGTCAAATGCCCTGAAATATTAATTATGAACCCCTGCGTGGAGTCCCAGGTGTCAGTGGACAGGTAAGAGAAGTTACGTTCATCTGTCGCAAATGCGACAGAGAATCAGAAACACCAGCACATGTGCTTGGAAAATGCCCGAACAACTCCCTCCTCATAACGCGCCGTCACACCACAAAGTCAAACATGAACTGATGAGGCTCCTTAAAGAGAGAGATTACGCCTGTTTCGAGGAAGTATATTGTATAGATACGAATGGATCCACCCGATATGCCGACATTGTAGACGAGAAAGTCGGCGATGATTTTGGATCCTACCGTGAGGTATGAGACCAATGACCTCGATTAGGCAGGCAAAGTGGAAAGAGAGAAAAAAAAAGACTTATGAGAAATTCATTACTTACCTTAGTTAAAAGTTCCTCGAGAATTTCGGGCCGAGAGAGTTCCACGTGAGAGGCCTTTGGTTCGGAGCTCGCGGAACGATACCAGACCCAACAAGGAGCTTCATGGAGGGCCTTGGTGTCGACATAAAGGACGTGGCAAGGTTGGCGGAGAATATAATCCTCGACTACCTGGGAATTATCCTTCACCATGTGCATGGATAGAGATTTTTTATATTATTTATTGACCACGTCCACTGCACTTTATGTATTTGTATGCATTTTATGAATTAGTTTAGGAAGAGATAGGAGGGAATATGAGGGAGAAAATGTATAAAGGTAGAGAAGGAAGAGAAAGGGACGTAGAATGCTAATAAATGATTGAAAGAAATAATAAAAAAAAATAATATATATATATATATATATATATATAAAACACATATATACATATATAAAAATAATTGTATACTATGCTCATACATATTGTTAATATTATATAAATATATATTTTTATTATTAAACACATTATTCAGAAATATTACAATTTGTCACAGTTAAGGACACTTATAATAGAGTTCAGAGAGTACATTCATACCGTATATACAAAAATATAAATAAATAAAGTAATAACAAAAGAATAAGAAAAAAGAACAAAAGAGAAAAGAAAAAAAAAATATATATACACATAAGTAAATAAAAGTAAAACAAACATCTTATATAAAACATACCTATATACATTATTTACAATTTGCCAGGTGATCTCCGAACCAATCCTGTCCCCTCCACATGTGGAGGGAAAAGGGAGGCTTAGGAGATCCCTACGCTTCTCCCTCAGCCACTTCACTGGTATTGAAACTAGCGGAGGATGAGTAAGAGCGCTACAGCCACAGACACTCATGACTTGAGTGGAGAATCTGGCCATTGCTAGAACTCCAAAATATCCATATTAATTGTATATTAGTCTAGGAAAATTATCTGTAGCGATTAATAAGTATGCTGTGTTTAAAGGAACATAATGTAATTGGGCAGCACCCTTTTATGATAATAATGTGATTCTCTCTCTCTATATATATGAGTTTTTTGTAAATAGTTGGAAGTTTAGAGCGTTTGTCTAGTAAGTGCTGCAGTAGTGGAAAATGTCGGGCGGTTTCTAGTCGTTTCAGCCTGGGATGGGGGCTCCATACCCAACTTAGTGTGAAACAATTGATTTTTGTTTCAGTTGCCTCGTAGCTGTGTAACTTAGTGACGTAAGTTGGAGGGACCGTCCAGCGCTAAGTTATTCAGGGCGCCGTGCGGTAGCGATGGTTTCCCCAGAGAGTCGGACAAAGGCGCGGCGGGGTCAATGCTGCAATAACCTGCTCGGAATACAGATTAGGCCAACAATACCCGCGATAAGGCTACTCCTCTTCCGCGGGACCCTATTTACCTACCGGCTCCATGGGACTTCTTTTTAAATAGGATCTGATTGGTCCCATCGCACCGTCCATCGATAGGTCTGAGGAACCAGTGGGGGGGAAAAGTAGGGCATTAGCGACAGAATTTCAAACAGATTTTTTGAAATATTAAGAATGATTTTTAGATTGAGATAGCAGTTTTCAAAATACAAAAAATGATACAAAAAAAAAAATCGCTGTTCTCTTTACCAGATAGCTTTTCTCGTTTTCTATCTTTCTATATCCGTCATCCTTATCTCAATGAAGTTGTTTTTTTTTTAAGTGAAAATTTCTTTTAGGCCCGTTTTGCACTTTTTTGTGGAGAGTGAATTAGACTGAGCCGTCAGATCTCTGATGTGTAACGCTTGGGTAAACTCTGCTGAATCGATTAATTGAAGTATATTTGCATGTGGATTGAAATATCTTAAAAACTAATAATCGAATCTGCATACTTTGAAGAGAGGAAATTAATCAGTATTTCGTCCTCTTTGCAATGGGCTATTATTCCAAATTGTATCTTAAGGCGACGCCTTGTTAAGACACCGGAAATAAAATTTAAAAAAGTGTCAAAAACAAATGATAACTAGTTTTATTGAGGATATGGATTAAAATATTTCAGTAACTAAAAATCGGACCTGCATACTCTAAGCGAGGGAAATGATCATTTTTATCCTCTTTATAATGAGCTATTATTTATAATTTATACCCCATATTCTACCACTCTTCAAAATCATCTAAACGATATTGCAGGTGGAAAATTAAGATAAATGAAAAAAAAAAGTGTGCATGTGGTATTCACTCTCAACTATAAACCTTCACCTGAAATATATTTTAATAACATTAAAATTCCAACATCAGACGTAATCAGGTATTTAGGTTTTTACCTAGACAAAAGACTTACTTGGAGGACTCACATCAGACAAAAAGGAATAGAATTAAACAGACGATACGGTCTTTTATCCAGATTACTTGACAGACGTTCAAAATTATCTTTAACTAACAAACTAACCCTTTATAAAGTTTTACTTAAACCTATTTGAACTTATGACATATTCTTGTGGGGCTCTGCTAAAACTTCCAACATTAAAAAAGTTCAGTCCTTTCAGTCAAAGTGTTGCGAAGGATAGTTGACGCACCGTTTTATGTCGCAAATGACACTACATAAAGACTTAAACGTACCTACAATTTTAGATACTGCAAAGGAGAAATACAATAACTTTCACCTAAGACTGACGTACAACATGAATCCCCTGACAGAAATCCTTCATCGTACAAGAAACCCGTACAGCCCACTACGAAGATTACGTAGGCGTTGGCCAAGAGACCTGCTGATCTGATTTATATCCCGGACGTGATGGGAAGCTGTGAAGCTGCCAAAAAATTTGCTCATTGCAAAGAAATTTTCAGATTGCAAATTTAATCAAATGTTCTACATTTTCGTTCCGTTAATAAATAAATATTTCATATTATTAACCCTGCCTTGTTAATGTTTTCACTTATATCGTGTGGTTTGAAGCAGATACTTTAGTTTTGTTTTTAAAGATTATCTTGGCCATTTCTTCAGCTGTATTCTAACTTCTTCAGACAAGGAGTGAAGCACCAACCGTTTTTGCAATTTCTAGAAAACTGTTACAGTTTTTTTTTAATCAAAATTGTAAATGTCAATCATTAAGTAAATTAGAACTTCTATTATCTTTTCATCAACTTATTGTTTTATTTGATACTATCTTGTTTTCCATTTATTTCCCGAGATCCAAAAGATAATTATCGACCAAACAGATCCTCTGGTTTCTAAATTTGTAATAGATTCCTAGAGATGAAAATTGAATTTGACTTTAATCACTGTAGAAAGTTTATATCCCAACGAACTTTCTAAAACTATTTGCCGGAAATTCGGTTGTTTCACTAGTTAGCTGATGAATTGAGTTAGGAAGTTCTTTTCCAATCCGAAGGCTTACGGCTTCCTGTAAAACTAGGACAGCTCGTTTTAAAGTTGTATTTCCAATTAATAATAAAATTTTCAAAAGGGTATGAATTATAGCAGCTACACCTTAAATAATAAGATAATTAGCCAAAAAAAAAAAATTGAAAAATCGATTGCGATATATGACGCCAATGAAATGAAAATATATTTTATTATTCTGGGATTGTTGTCCCTTTAGAAAAAAATACAAGTACAGAATGCATGTATGTATGTTCATAAATAAATTAAATATTTACTATAATAGTTTATTAAAAATAAAAACACAAAAGAAGAGGAAGTCAAATACAAGAAAATTGTACATATATATATATATATATATATATATATATATATATATATATATATATATATAAGACAAATAAATGAAATTAAAATAACATAAATAGTCTCTGGTGGTACTGAGATAGGTCGCTTAGGTACATTTGGTAATCAGTCGAATTGTGAAAGGAGTAGATGTTTAGAGAGGAGAGATTTGAAAGAGGAAACTGAGTGTGCATGTCCAATATCAGCAGGGATGGAATTCCAGAGAGAGGCGGCTTAAATTACAAATGATTTGTCAAACGCAGCAGTTCGGTGAGGAGGAGGATAAAGGTTGGAAGTAAGAGATCTAGTGGGAAGGGATTGGATGGAGTATTTAAATTGTAAGCTGTGAAAAATATAGGAGAGTCTATGAGTTCTAATGATCTGGTACTGAAAGATGGCTAGGAAGTTCTGACGGCAATAGGATGGGTAGAGCCACTTCAACTCGGTGTAATAGAATAGAAAATAATTTTACTCTGGGACGAAGTCCCTTTAGAATAACAAAAAAGTACAAAATTAAAATGTTATATCTGTCCAAATAAAAACACACATAAAAAGTAAAGATAAAGATAAATAAGTAAAGAAAATATTAGTTATACATACTATGTACAAAATAAAAAAAAAAATTATCTACAAAAATCTTGAAACCTTGCCAAGACACTTAAAATTATGTGAAATGGTAAAATATGAATATACACTTTTAGGAAAAATACATTACATTCTTCTTAACAGTAATCTCTGTATTTCTGTTAAAAAAAAAAAGAAAGTCGAATCTGATAATAAGTATTTAAGTTATGAGCTATGTGTAAATACATTATTATGAATAACATGTAATTTTACATAAAAAGTGAGCGGGTACCTGACTGTTTTTGGGACAGGAATTGGAATAAGAGGGTTTTGCATTTAGACAGAGATGAAGAATGCCGAATTTTGATAGGAAGGGATTTCCAAAAATTAACAGAGCGAGCAATAAAGGAGTTTTAGAACGAGGCAGATCTGTGAGAAGGAATATAAAGGTTGGAAGGTCAAGATCTTGTGGATAGGGAGTGGACTGAGGACTTGAATAGGAGAAGGTTGTAGGCGTAAGGAGGATGATTGTTGATGATATGATAGAGGAACGTACCTAGGAAATATAGTCTTCGAATGGAGGGGAAGAGCCACTCTAACTCAGTGTAGTGGTGAGAGACATGGTAGTATCTCAGGGCACCAATCACAAATCTCACGCAACTTTTCATTAGTCTTTTCATACTGGGTAATCTACGCATACTGGGTAATATGCGTATATCTTGGGATTCCGAAAACATAACGTAATGCGCAATTCATTAGGCGTTTAAGTTTGGCCTAGAAATCTCCCGAGAATCCACTGTACTACTATACAGCCATAGTCGAAGTGGAGAAATACAAGAGAGAAGACTAAAAGTTATATTTTTTTTTTTTGTTCTTAGGTATCGGTATGATTATTGATTTGTGCTATAAGTCAGGTGTGGTTCCCCCTACCCATATATTATTGTACAATTGTAAGAGATGTGATTTGGCTTCCATAGGGATTTTAAAGAATAAATATGGAATTTTATTAGGACCAGGGGTTGATTTCGGTTTACATTTTAGTAAGACATTATTAAGTTCCTCTATGGTAAATATCGCATTATAGTTGTCCGTATCTTTGCATCTGATTAATGACCCGTTGGCGTTCAGTTGTCTTTTTGTGGATAACAATACTTTGGTCGTAATTTTCAGTGGAAGATACTTTTTGAAAGTACGATCCTAGTTCTTTTGCTATCTCCACATTTTTTGTTACGATGCCATTTTGGGTTTTTAAGCCTGATATTGTGGACATTTTTTTGCATCCCTTAATTGTTCTAATTTTGGACCATACTTGTTGAGATGTAGTCGAACTGTTTATTGAAGACACGTATTCTCTCCAACATTCTTTTTATCTTTGTTTTATAATTTTATTAGCGTAGGTTCTCCGTTTCTTAAATTCTAGAAGATCAGAAAATAGTCTGGTTTTTTTGTGTCTATTTAGCGCTTTCTTTTTTGCATTGACTGCTTTACTGCATTCAGTATTCCACCATGGAACTCGAACGCGAGAATATTCTTTGCTTATCTTAGGGATACTATGAGATGCTGCTTCGAGTACTGTCTGGTTAAAAACGTTTAGCTGTTCATTGATATTTAGATATTCAAGTGTGTCTAAAGAGCTTTCGTTTTGATTTAGCTTTGCAATTATGTATTCGTTATAAATTTCCCAGTCAGCTGAAGAATACTGCCATCGGTTGTTGTATTGTACAAGTGGCTTATTTCCTGGAATTTCTAGGATAATCGGGAAGTGATCACTGCCAAATAATTCATCTAGCACTCTCCAGTTCGTTGTTGGTAAGAGATGTTGTTCACAGAGGCTGAGATCTGGAGCTGTGAGTGTATTGGTACTTAGATTAAGATGGGTTTTAATGCCGTCGTTCAATAATGCTGTGCTTTTATCGACTTCTAAAAATTTTACCAAGATATTACCCCTGTTATCGATATAGTCAGATCCCCAGAGAGAATGGTGGCCGTTCATGTCTGTTTAGGGAGTTGATATGGATCGGGCAGATGCGGAATGTAACAATAAATAAATAAAGTTGTTATATGAGTTAGTTTAGGCTGACTGATTGTATGTATTTATTTAACCTAATTGTTATGTTCTTTTTCTGTTTAAATTGGGGAATCAAGAAATTAATATTAAAAAAAAAAACGTGATAAAAGCAGTATTATTTCATTTTTTATTGGTCATTCGAACTATTCGCACGGCCCAACTAGTTACATTTATTGATGACAATATTACTGGCTTGTTGCAATATTGAGCAGGTTGGGAGGGGAGCAGTATTGTGTAGACAGAGCACATGTTAGGGGGGCAATAGACCCACTGTTACAGAAATTGACTATCGACCGATCTCGGGAGTATCAGGCAGAACATGCTTCAGTAATCACTGATTATAGATTACATGCTTCGGTTGCTTTAAGTGGTTAGGTAACCATCAGCTTTGAGTCGACACAGAGGAAGAATGGTAGGCCTTGTTTCGGTTTGGCGAATAAGAGAACAGTCGGAAACTAGAAGAAGATACGAGCAAATTATAAAACATCCTTCATTTAACATTGGCTAAAAGTTGCAAGTATTTTTACTAAAAATATTTTTATCTTTGTAAACCTCATTAGTCGTTTATTCTTTTAAAATTACTTTTTTAATTTTTGGAATTGCCATAGAAGTGCGGCAGAGGATCAATACTTTTGAAAATAGATTGTTAATTCTTTAGCCCTTTGTACTCGCCTGTCCCCTGTGAGGGGACATGAATGTTTATTAGCGATTACCGGGAATGAACTTATTCCACCGCAGTTTTTTAAGAATTGTGTGTTTTCCTGTTATGTTATATAATCTTCTATTAAAGTGGCACAAAACCCTTTTTTAAAATTGATCAAGATTAAAAAAAAATTAAAAGTTATAATATCTTATTTCCCGTACATACGTATATATAATCTTTTTAGATGCTAAAATAAGAATTTCTATTGCTCGAAAAAATATTATTAAATTTTATTATAAGATATTTCAGGTTATCTGCCATAGCTAGTGTTGCCAAAAATCGGTCTTGGTCTTGCACTTTGCAAGACCAAGATCAAGGCCTCCTAACTGTTGCAAGACCAAGACCGGGACTGGTAAAAAAAATCGATTTTTAAAATAAAAATTAAGGCAAAATACTTACTAATTCTTGACAATCTTAGTTACTATATGTTAATAATTTGTATAACCAATATACTTTTGCATTTAACTCTTCTAATATTTCATTCGGGCTTAGTTTGGTTTCTCCTATCTAAAAAATTGCAGTAATATCTCTATAGTAATAAGCTAATAAGTAACTGTAAGACTGTTGCGAGACTCTAGCGCAAGACCAAGACTGAGTTTGCAATACCAAGACTCGTCTCGGTCTCGCATTTGGGCTACACTAACCATAGTGTCATTTATTTTTTAATTTTCGTGTATTATATCTGATAATATTTATATTCATCGCACAGATAATGGATTATATTTAGCGTCAAACGTCTACAGCTCATTTTATTTTGTTCTTATTTCAATGTATTATTTTGCAAATACTTTATCTATTTATATTTCTGTGAATACAGTGTGAATGTGCTCTCTGAACTATATTATAAGTGTCCTTAACTGAGAAAGAACGTAACATTTCTCAATAAACAAGTTAAATATGTTATTAAACATATTGTTAATTATACCAAAAGTAACATAAATAATTGACCCACAATTAGAAAAATTTTATTGAATTATTTTTTTTTAAACTACATGTTGTACATATGTTTCATTCGTTGATAATTATTAATTTTTGAAATACTAGAAGTTTGGTATAATCTTTTAAATATGGAAAAAGCTGAGTTGGGAGTGGTAACTAGTTCCGAAGTGGTCGTTTTGAACAGAGGTAACAGTACAACATGCACTGTGAACCTTCACGGCGCTACCATCGTATCTTGGAAAGTGTTCAACATAGAACAACTCTTTGTCAGTACGGAGTCCCGCTTCGACAACTTGTTCCCGATAAGGGGAGGCATTTCGATCATCTATACACAATTCGGTTTCGACAACATCTTCATGCCCAACAACGGCTTCGCGAGGACATCCCATTGGTCAGTCGAGGAGCATCCTACTGTGATAAGAGACGGAGACGTGAAGGCAGTGTTTGTTCTCAAATCCGATCTCGTAATGAGAGAAAATTATTGGCCTTTCGATTTCGTCCTCAAGTTCATCGTCGTCCTTCAAGAACAATCGTTGAATTTGAAATTGAGTATATACAATGGCGAGAGAGACATGCCTGTGAAGTGCAACATTGCGTTCATGAACTACTTGAGACTGACTAGATCAGAAAATTGCGCCATCTCTGGTTTAAAGGACTTCAACTGCCTCGATAGGATATCTAAAAAAATTGTTTGCGAAACGCGGGATAGTTTTAACGTTGACCATTGGATCGACAATGTTTATCACATGGCGGGGAGGGATATCCATCTTTCGAACTCAGTTCTACCATTTTCGATGAAGATCAGCAGGTGGAATCTCCCGGATGTCGGGTTTTGGAACCCGTGGACTGACGCTGTTCACCTCGCCACTTGCCTCTGTGAAGAGGAAGTCAAACAGATGATCGTGGTCGTAAACGGAAGCATACTTTCACCCTGCGTGGTGCCACCCCTGTCTTGGTACAGCGTCAATCAATTAATGGAAGCCATATATGATCGTGAAATATATTCGGATCGTTCAGCATCATTGAGCATACTGTAGGGGATTATTTACTCTGCATTATACATTTGTTTATTTATAATTTTTAATGCGATGTTATTTATAGAAATTTTAACTTATATAGTTTTTGATGTAGAGATAGTTCACCGTTGATATAATATGAGAAGGAGTTAGTCGAAGGTGCGGTCAAATAAATAAAAAAAAAAATTAAAATATATTAATTATTTTAATTTTTGCTGACGTTTCGACCCACTTTGCAGGTCGTCTTCAGGGCTACAAAAGATAGAAAACATGTTTAAAATAAAAAAATACAAATAAGTATATATAAACTACGAAGAAGTTGTCAGATACAGAAATAAAAGATGGTATCAGAGATATAGTGGGTGACAATGTAGTTAAATATTAAGAATTATATATGTAGAAGATATAAATAAATGAAAAATAAGTAGGAATAAAAATAAAAATAAAGGAGAATATGGCATGTAAGTTAAAAGTTTATATAGTTTTTTATAAAGTTTATATAGTTTTTGGTTTATTATTTTCAATAATCAACCATTGTGATTTACCAAAAAATTCAAAAACTTAACCTCCTGTCAAAATTTGAGGTTTCACGTTTCAGGATGCGTAGAATCCGAAAAACGAATAAAAATTTTTTTGTCCGGCCGCCGTACGCGCATTTTCTCCGAAAATACTGGACCTAATTTTTTCAAATTTGGATATAAAATCAGAGGTAACCCGAGGATGATCCTCCTTCATCGACATTACTATCCGCCTTTTAATTTCAAAATGAAGGCCGAAACACCTGTGTTGCTATAGACTGTAGCTCCTAAACGAATGTACTGATTTCAATGATACCTCGCTAAACTCATTTTCTTGACGCCCTTTAAATTTATCTATATTACATACTTCAACGAAAAGAAGCTAGAAAAAATCTGCGAGGGATGGTAAAATTTAATTCCGAATAACTTAAAAAGCATACACTTTTTTGTTGATACATATGGTTTTTTAAAAATTTACGGAATTTTCTAAAAAAAAAAAAAAAAAAAGTCGTTAAAATCCGACAAAGCAGCAAAGATATGATCGCCTGCTTTTTATATGTTCTACTCCAAATGTTATATCCTTTGTTTGGTTTTTATATTTTGAATGTGTTACTGAAATAATGCTATTTTTTTTGTATATTACTAATGATTAATAAAAAAAGTTTAGCCCAATAATTTGAATCACCTTTTATTTATTTTTCTTTGTAACTAGGAAGGTAATGTTACTTTAGATGTATAATTGTTTGGAAATAATAAACCATTGTGGAATAATTTGCAGCGTTTTTTTTTTTTTTACTTTTACTAACCCATATATGAAATCTACAGTAAGATACAGTATTGCGATAGTCAAAATTTTAGAATCAGAGTTTTCAATGGAAATACATGTTTTGAGGTCCCTTTAGTCCAAATAACCAAGTCCCGCAAAATGGTCTGTGTGTATATGTTTTTGAGCAGTCTAGCTCAAAATCGGAAAGCCGTGTGAAATCGCATATTTAAGGTTTTTATAGACTTCAAATGTTAATGCAACTTTTTCGTCAAAAGGGACTAACCAGAAATGACACCTTATATCAATGGTGAAACACATTTTTAGATTTTTCTCAAAAACGGACCTAACAATTTTGATTAAACTAGATGTATCTTTGTATAATTAAGTACTCATTAATATCATTCAGATCTTATCCCCATTGATGTCACTATACAGGGCTTAAATGCCTAATGTTCAGATACGTATTCCTCTAAAGTCCCTTTAATATGGTTTATTTTAAATAATTAATCATCACACGTTATTTAGAGTTACGAAAAAAATGCTAAATAAAATATTTAAAAAAATTTGATTATTGAATAAAGGAGAAAAAATAAAAATGCTTATCCATGTCGAAAATAAATCTCCTGAAATACTAGTCAGAAGGTATTCGTATAATATATCGCTGGAAAGCGTAGGATTTTAGAAAAAATAGTATCAAATAAATAAAGTTGTAGAAGGTAATGGAGAGTGACGAAAAAAATGTAAATAATAATTTCAGAAAACATAAATCACATGTTTCCAAGGAAATTAAATGAAATTTTCCTACTAAATGCAAACTTTTAAATTTTTCCTATGTTTAAAAATAAAGTGATTAAAATCTCTACCAAATCAAGCCAATGCTACTGTTTAAAATACTATTTCATTGTACTTGTGTGAAAGAAGAAGTGAAATATAAAAATATTTCATGGATATGTTTATACCCTTAAATACATTTACTGTAGTTTAAAAACTCTAGATATGGTATAACATATAAATAATTAGGTATCTAACGGCCGTTCATTCCAAACAATCATCCAGTAAACTTTTAGAAAATTAAATTAGTAAATAATTTGCACTTTCAAGTGTCTCTTGACATATATCAGTCTTTCGATTGACAGTATGACTAACTTCAATTTCAATTCTTTATTATTAATTTTAGTGATGTTTCTAGTGGCAAAATTTATAACTTTATTTACAATTCTATGTTTCAACACTACAATCACCTCCTCTGGAATCAACTTACAGTCTGTATAGATAACTTTTCAATTTGAAATATCACTAAAATGACATTACTCAAAAAATTTTAAATTGGAGTTCATTCTGTCAACTGAAATGCTCAGAGACTGAAGTTGTGTGGTTTATAAAAGCAGATGGAGTAAATAGATTTTTACTACCTACCGTAGATATAATAAATAGACTTTTTGTAATATTAGTGGACTTAATTTTTTGTTATCTGTAAGCTTTAAGCTTTAGCTCCTTTTAAACTGCACTTAAACTCTTCTGCACTTAATCTGCGCCTGTCATTAATTGGCATTATGGGTTATATAAAGGAAGTATAGTGCTCAGCAGTTCCTCTGGTCTTTATTTGTTTCCTTAGTTCAGCAAATGAGATCTCTCATCCAGTTCCTTATAAAAATACAAAGCGGCAGGGAATTCTTCGAGGTCACTTGACTCTTATTCTGACTTCAATTATAGAACGGCCAAAATATAGTATAAGTACAATATATATATATATATATATATATATATATATATATATATATATTTTAACTTTTATTGAGTATTAATACAGTCTGCCACACTGAAGGGCATTGGTACTAGGGCTATAGTATTCATTCACACAATATGTATATAAGAAAGGAAAAAAAAAAAAAATATATATATATATATATATAAATAAAAAGATAAAGTAATATACAAGATAATTAAAACAACAGATCAGCCGAATAATAACAAAACAAATAAAACACATTCACACCTATGTACAATATTTACATTGGCCCAACTGTGGAAGCCAAAGCAGGACTCCAGGAGATCCTGCTTCTCTCCCAGCCGCGTCACTGGTATAGTAAGCCAGTGGAGGCTGATGGAGGGCACTAGAGCAACAGACGCTCAGGATATGGGTGAAGAATCTGGCCAGTGCCAGTACTCCAATATATACATTTTTACAAAAGGTCGCGGGGCCACTGCCGTTTTAACCTCCGAGGAGGATTGTAGGGATGACTGGAGGTAGATAGAGACTGTGCTATAGGATTAGGATGATGAGTGAGATTCTGGTGAAATTTGGAAAATTTGTCTGGAATTAGGTCAAGTGCAAATGGGATATTAAGGTCATTGTGTAGGGTTTTATTGGTTACATAAAAGGGAGCATCGACTATTGTTTGGAGAACTTTAGACTGAAAGGATTGAATGCGTTTGATGTTAGAAAGTTTTGCTGTCCCCCACAGTTCGAGTACGTAGGTACAAAATATGTTAACCAACAAAAAAAAAATCTTAAATTTAATTATACCCACATGTATTTTTTGGACAGATGTGATTATATTTTTCTTTTATAATTGTTATTAATAAGGGACATCATCCCAGAAAAAAAAGTTTATTTCCTATTCTATTCTATACCAGTCACATTTTTTATAAAATGAAAATATTTGGCCAATTGTATCAATGAATTTATCTTATGGATAGTAATTTTATTTTTATTTCTTTCAGGTGAGTGGTTAATCTCTTAGAACTACTAAGGTAATTATTAACTAATATCTAAGTAATTAAAGTGTCAGTTTATTTACATGTTTCTAAACTTTATCTTGTAGAACTATTCGTGTATCTTTCTTATTTTAGCACTTTTTTATAGATTTTTTTTTTTAAATTTGCATGTTCCAAACTCGACCATAACCTTACATATCATCCAAATCCACTTACAAAATCCTCCTCAATCCTTCACAACCCTCCAATAGAATCCTCCTCGAATGTTGAAGCGGCAGTGGCCCAGAGACATGTTGTAAGCATATATTGAAGTTCTGGCAATGTCCAGATTCTCCACTGAAGCCATGTATGTCTGTTTATTAGCCTCTCACTGATCCTTAATACCAGTAATACGGCTGAATGAGAGGTGCTGGGATCTCCTAGAAGAAAATAGAGTTTCAGTCCGAAAGCCCCCTCCGCGTAGATTCGCCTGTGCGTTGGAAGATAATTGGTTGTCCTAAGTCGGTATGTAGAATTTTATCGTTTACGTACCAGGGAGCTGATGTTATCAGTGTTAAAATTTTGAATTTAAATTGATTTAGTTTTTTGTCTGTTTGAATAGGTGTTATCACCCCTTAAAATAAATCCTTCTAATTTTGGGACACTCTGAGGACGGGATGGTCGAGCATTTTGTGGCGTGGGTTTCAGACTATCAGGTTCAAAACGTTGTGGGTTCAAATCCCACTTAGGTTTGTTAATTTTCATTTCTCATCGGCCCCGAGAAATTAATCTTGACATTCCTACTCTGGTAAGTACGCGATGGTTGACTATAAAACCCTTCATGCTGGCCTCACAGTTGACAAAAAAGCCCTTGTGGCCCACTTACCGGATTATCCCCTCCCTCCTAGTACCAGTACGGGACACCTTGCATATTTCACATATCATTAAATAAAAGCATAATATAAATCATTATTTATTTTTCCACCAAATGTAGTTTAACATATCCACTTTTTAACAATTATATTTAATAAATAAAAATGGATCCAGTAATAAATAATACTTAGCTTAAATAAATTTATTATTTTTTATTGAATGACAAAATATTTATTTATCTTTTTTTTAAACACATATACATGCTTTCTTTTCGTATACTGACAAACTCGATAAAATAAATAAAGTCTTTATTCGTTCCAATTTTTCATATAACTTTTTCTAAATATTAAAAATAAATAAAATATTATTTTATGAGCATAACAAGGATCCCATTGACGTCACGGAGCTTCGGAGCTATTGTAGAATCTTTTGGGGTTGACTTGCCAATGAAACTGAAACGGAATATCTCTCCTTTCGTTGAACAGTACCTTTGACACCCGACCTCGCTTACCTTGGGCGTGAGCTTCAGGTTTCACCAAGAGATCTTTCCATTCTGAAACAAGAGACTATTTTGAACTATTTGACTTAGCTGGTTCATTAGTTATTTACATCTAGGATTAATGAAGCCGTAATCTAGATGCCTTTCATCGCACATTAGGCTATCCTAAGCAATCCAGCGAGATCAAAGTCAAAATACCTGTAGTGATAATAATAAACATTAATAGTCGAGAGTTATAATTAATAAAGTAGATTGGTTGGGGTGTTAAATAAAAAAAAAAATGTAAATATAATTTAATTAATAATGTATATTGATTTATTGGGGCTCTACTAAACTATCACATTCCTCTCGTATCCAATCCCTTCAATCCAAAATCCTTCGTAAAATCCTTAACGCTCGCTACTTTGTCACAAATAAAATCATTTATAATGACCTTAATATACCACATGTTTCCGATTTAGATAGTTTCTCTTTATGTTGTACATGTCAGGTTACTTGTTCATATTTACTTGTTGTATTTATCATTTAATACAGTTGTAAATTTCAAGATAATAATATATATATATATATATATATATTAATTTGATTGCTATAGTGATCAACTAATAAATTTCACACCTTTAAAATTATATATATTTTTTTTTAAAGATTTGTTTTTATTATATTTTACAAAAAGATGACTTGGGACCAAATCGTCATGATGGAAGGAAATTCTTTAAACCAGCGACAGAAAATGCTATACTTATTTTTTCCCCAATTAATTAAAAATCAGACAAAAACCGAACACATACATATACCTATTCAAACTTAAAATATGGACAAAAACTACAATAATTTAAATTCAAAATTTTAATATTAATAACAACAGCTCCCTGGTATTTAAACAATAAAACTTTACATACCGACTTAAGACAACCAATTATCTTCCAACGCACAGGCTTATCTACGCGGAGGGTGCTTTCGGACTGAAACTCCCCCAAAATGGTAAAATATAACCATATTTTACAGAAAAAAATATTAAAAACTATATCTTAAAGTATTCTTGTTCGCGTAATTACATTTAATAGGACTTCAAGAACCAATTAAACACCATTTCATATAGGTAATTAATTACGTTCTTTTTTTTTTTTGGCTTTTATTATCTTTTATGGTCTTACACAACAACAAAGTGGAAGACCAAGACTAAGACCACCTCACTGTTACAAGGCTTAGACTAATAATGGTAAAAAAAAATCGATTTTCGAATAAAAATTAAGGGATAAAGTTACTAATACTTGACAATTTTAGATACTGTATGTTAAGAATTCGTATAACCAATATACTGTTGCATTTAACTCTTCTTATTTTTCATTCGGGCTTAGCTAGGCTTCCGTTATCTAAAATAATACAGTAATATCTGTATATACAACTAAGCTAATAGGTAACTGCAAGTCCGTTACGAGACTCTTGAGCTACACCAAGACCTAGAACAAAACTGAGTTTGCAAGACCAAGACTTGTATCGGTCTTGCGTTTGGGCAACACTAGTTTTCTGACTGTTGCAAGAAAGGAAGTTGTGTTTAGTATGTATCTAATGAGAAATATGACTACATAATATACTATGGATATACTATGGTAAAGCCAGTTATGATATACTGCTTTGAGACCTAGAGACCAACCAATATCCTAGAAAGAAAAACGGAAAGATTTGAGGGAGAACATCCTCAGAACAACTTCAAGGCAAGGAGGTTAAGATAGGCTTTGTATGTAGCGTGGAGCAATTCATCTGGAAACTTCCACACATTAATGAATTTTATGGATAGATCGAATAAACACAAGTGCTGCAGCGGTTCATGCAGATACCTAGAGAGCAATGACCCAAGCTAGGAAGAGATGGAAATGGCTAGTTAAGGTGGTAAAATATCTACATGATCTGTAAAGCCAACAGAAAATGAATAAAAACTATCGATATAAGAATAGTTTCTGTATTTATTATAACCTTTTTTTTCTAAGTAATTTTTAAACGGTCTGGATATTATCTTTTGATCGTTGACTAATTTCATTAGTAACATAGAATAAAATTAATGCACATGGATAAATCGCACCTCCTTATAACAATATATTAAATATTAACTATATAACTAAACTGGGTCTTAGAGTTAATGGAAATAAGACGGTGTACATGGAAAATTCAAAAATGGAAAAGGAAATGAGTACAGAGATAGCGTTAAGGGACAACTTTAGGTCTGTTGAGCAGTTCAAGTCCCTTGGAAGCCTGGTCACATGCAATAATAAAATAAAAGGCAGAAAGTGAAATAAAAGGCAGGATGGCAGCAGGAAATAGATGCTATTTCTCACTGCAAAGAGACTTCAGAGAAGTTCAGATCACTCTCTAAAAGAATCGAAATCCTCATCTACAAAACCATAGTAAGACTAGTGGTTATGTATGGGTGTGGGACTTGGACCTTAACCAAAAACTCAGAACGCACGCTCAACTCCAGGGAGAGAAAAGTATTGAGAAGAATATGGGGAGGAATATTTGAGAATGGAATTTGGAGAAGAAGAATGAAGAGCTGCGGAAACTGTATGGTGAACCTGATATTGTAGTATTGATAAAAAGAGCCAGAATCAGATGGTTAGGTCATATGGAAAGAATGGCAAAGAAGATGCTGCATGAGAAGCCGGATGGCAAAAGAAGTAGAGGGCGCTCTCGGATCAGATCGCTGCAGGATGTTGGGGACGATCTGAGGGCGTTCGAAGATGGAGGGAAGTCGCAGATAAACGTGGAGATTGATTGGCTGTAGTAGAGGATGCCTGGGTTCTTGCTGGACCGTAGAGCCATTATAATAATAATAATATAAATAAATATTTCCATTTATTTTGTGATTTTTTAGTGATACTCATAATTGTCGATTTTAATTCTAAACAAAATTAATACAAACAGAAATATTGGCCTAGTCAATGTAGGTTTTTTTATCCTGAGAATTATTTGGAGTCGTCACCTCTCCGATAATAGAGTCATTTTTTATTTGTCTTTGTCAGATCATATTTATTTTTTATTTTATTTAAAAAATACAATTTACAGTTAAACGAAAAGTAGTAATACATATCATTAATAAGAGTTTAAAAAAATAAAATAAAATACCTTACACCTTATTGAGGAAATACAAAGTTACCCTCTGTGCCGTTCCCTAGTCTGTTAGATACAGCAGCGCCTCTGTAAGGTATGGAGGCGTCCTGGGATATAATACCACTGTTGAGCCAACCCTCATCAGTCTCCAGATATAAGTTTGAGTTCTGGGTCTTGGAAGTCCATCCGCCTCTGAAGAGGATGCCACCAGGATCTTCGGTGCTTTCGTTTCCAGCGGTTTCGGTAATCTGCCAGATAACTAGAAATGTATACCTTATTAAAATTTTAACTGTCAACGAAAACTCGATCAAATATAGTGTAATCTTAATTGAGTTCATGAATTCATATAAATGAATATTATGCTAACACATATAATGAGAACAAAAATGAAAAATCTGCGGTGATCTAAAAGTAATTGTCATGCTCTTAGCATGCGATTGGGATACACAAAACATTGCTGCTTCTTATGTATTTGCGACAGTAGAGATAGGAAATTACATTGTATTAATGAAGACTGGCCTGCAAGAAATTTTAACCCTAGAGAGAAAAATGTCGTTGCCAAGCCTCTCGTGGACCCAAAAGATGTTTTACTTCCACCACCGCATATCAAGCTGGGTTTGATGAAAAATTTTGTCAAAGATATGAACCAAGAAGGGCGGGCCTTTAAGTAAGTAATGCAAAGATATAAGGAAGGCATTTTTGATAATTCAAGTACAAACAAAATTCGAGTACTTGTGAAGGATCCTGCATTTGACCAAGTTTTGGAAGTGAAAGAAAAGGAAGCTTGGGAAGCCTTCAAGGGGGTTGTTTGTGTAATTTTAGGCAACGAAAAAGATAACATATGGTGCCAGTACTCCTTCAAAAGTACCATAACCTTAAATGTAACATGTTCCTTAAAATCGATTTTCTTCATTCCGACCAAGACTTTTTCCCTTCTAGTAGTGGAGCAGTTAGTGATGAACATGGAGAAAGATTCCATCAGGACATTTCTGTTATGGAACAAAGATATCAGGGCCATTGGAATGAAGCAATGCTTGCGGATTACTGTTGGTCTTTGTGTAGGGTTGCTCCGAAGCTCCCCTACAAGAGGCAAGCTAAAAGACGACGATCTCATGAAGCCTGCAGATAATCTCTTCAGACACGACCATCTGCGAGGTGTTCTTACAGCAATTTTGAACTCTTAGAATATAACTACCATTTTGAAAAAATCAAATGCATTTTCAATGTTGTTAGCATATATAATAGAAATGTATCTTTTTCTCTTAACGCGTTAATATGAAATACTTCCACCTAGTGTATATCACAGAGCTAAGAAAATTTTTCCATTGTCATATTCGTTTTTTTCAACTTGAAATTATTTAGAATTGATTCATGAAGTGCTGGAAACATTCAAAAATCTGTTTTTTGTTGCTCAGTGTAATTGAAACAAAAAGACATTTGTAACGACCCAGTAAATAAAATTGCCTTCATAAAAAATCTATCTTAATCATTATTTGTTCTATGTATATTTGTCATTAAACTAATTATTTATAATTTTGTTATAACTAGTATTATTGGGCAAACCTTACCTCCCGACGCTAAACTAGCATTCCTCTGAATTTCGTCGTATACGGTCTCATTATTCGGAGTGATAGCTGTAGACATTGCACATCATTATTTGTTTTGAATATATATTTATTAATAAACTAATTCCTTAAATTTCATTTATGTCATGAATAGAATTATTTAACAAATCTTACCTTCTAAATTCAGACTAGAATTCCCTTGAGTCTGGTCGTATACGGTCTCATTATTCACAGAGATAGCTGTAGACAGATCATTATATGCTCTGTATATATTTTTAATTGAGATAATTATTTATTAATAAATTGAACATTTAGTTCGAGGACAACATGAATTAATTAGGATATAAGTGGAAAGCTCCAAACCATAAAGCCATGGGTCTCTTAAATACACACGAACAGTTAACAGTTTCCCAATTCAGGCATCATCAAGACAAAACGAAATCACAAATATGCAGAAAGAAAAAAAAATTAAGAAAAGCTTATCTGTGGACGAAATTTCACCGAACCATGAAAATACATGGTACATAAAATATAAGAAAACGGGGGGTTCTATAAAGATAGATGTGGAAGGTTATATTGAACAGCTGATGAGTCTGAATGAAAAAAAAAAAAATATGTGTGCATATCTAAAATATAATATTATAAAAAATATGTTAATTAAATAAAATAATAAAAAAGAATAATCAATTAATAAATACAAAGGAAAAGGTTCCGGTGTGTATATAACACACATACTCAATAAAACTCCTAATTATGATATAAATGGAAAAATACTATCTTTATAGAATGAATCTTTAACATAATGGAGGCACTGTTAACCTGTCATTGTTTCGCCAATTCGGGTATCATTAGAACAGAAAAAAATAAGATCACATATATGCAACAAATAAGTAGATAGGTTTACTGAATATATCTCACTAAGCCACCCAATGCAAGTACACTCTGACAAAATCGTAAGGTTGCATAAACGTGGAAGGTTATAATTTAATTTATGGGTAGCAAAGGCAATATATTCCTTTCCTTAAATTCCTTTTCCGAACCTTAAAAATCAAAAAATCTGCTTATTTCCTTGATTTTATTATTCCTGATTCATTTACACTAGATCCTAGAACACTAACCTTGTGTGCTAACTTTTTAAGGAATTCCACTTACTCACATTTAGTTGTATGAAAGATTTTAGACAGGTTTTAGTTATATGAAATAAATAAAATCTATTTATTTGCTCTAACTACTTTATTAATTAAATATAAAAATTAACCTTTATATTAAATTTTGTTCAAAGTGATTTCCTTAAGCATTATCTTTCTTCAACAGCAGCAGTGGCAGAACGGCACTGGATATGTGTTATTGTTTCAAAAGTAATTAAAGGCATTGACCGGACTTGCTCAATCATATCCCAATCAGTGGCTTGACCTGCACCCTCTCCAGACACCACTGGATTTTTTTGTTTGAGGTGACATTAAACCAAAAATTCTATGCAAGTCCGGTCGATGATCTTAATTCCTCGCGAAGAAGGATAATTGAATCTTGTGGAACAATAACACATATCCAGTACCGTTCTGCCACTGCTGCTGTTGAAGAAAGATGTCGAGCCTGTCTTACTGCTCAAGGAAATCACTTTGGACAACATTTAATATGAATGTTAATGTTTAAATTTAGTTAATAAAGTAGTTAGAACAAATAAATAGGTTTTATTTATTTCATATAACGTAAATAATTTATAACAACGAAAATCTTTAGCTGTGAATATCTCCTGAACAAAGCGTTTACGGATATACCTTCAGAGAAATTTTTTTTTGTTTTGAAGTCCTTACTTCATTTCAGCAGTTTGACCACTTAACCCTGAAACACCCTGTATATTGTGTAGCGTTTATAGTCTGAAATGTTTCATTCATAAGGTCTCTTTTCGAGCGGCACCATGTTTTATGGAGAATGTATGTTTTATACACCTTTTTATGTATTTATTAATTTATTATTTGATTTTATTAACACATTTTTGTATAGTTATATTTTAAATTGTGGGTAAATGGTTGACTGTAGTGAATAATGAAGAGAAGAATAGTTGGAGTGATCAGTCGAATAAGAAGGCAAAAAAAAAAGATAATATTTATTTTGACATTTGACATTTTCAGGCCTTCATCGGGACTAAGAAAAGAACCAGATAACAAGGTATGAGAAACATAAGTAGTGTAGGTAAAAAAAAATAAAGTAAAATGCAGTTGTTAGAATAATGGCAATTGTAAGAACTAAGAGATAAATAATAATAACAGGTACAAAGTGTGGAATGATGAAGTAAACATAATCAAAAAGATTACATAAGTATTAAAACGGGAATCTTAGAATAAAATGTAAAACAGAAAAAGAAATATGAAGTTATATAAGAAATAGAAATAAATAGTAAAATTAAGATATTGCGAATAGAATAGTTAGATCGATTAATTTAATTTAATTGATTAATCGATCTTAACTTCATATTTCTTTTTTCTGTTTTACATTTTATTCTAAGATTCTTATTTTAATACTTATGTCACCTTTTTGATTATGTTTACTTCATCATTCCACACTTTGTACATGTTAGTATTATTTATCTCTTTGTTCTTGCTGTTGTCATTATTCTAACAACTGCATTTTACTTTATTTTTTTTTACCTACACTACTTATGTTTCTCATGCCTTGTTATCTGGTTCTTTTCTTAGTCCTGATGAAGGCCTGAACTTCAGATCGAAACGTTTGCAAATGGCAAAATAAATATTATCATTTATTTTTCCCTTTTTATTTGACTGATCACCCCAACTATTCTTCTCTTAATTAGTTATATTTTAAGTATGAGTAGTTTTTTCTTCTTTTATCTCTGTTAATTAGCTGTTTTATATAACCTTCCTCGACTGTTTCCTTCAGTATGTTTTTGAATGGGTTGATGATAATATGTCAATAGCATACTGTTTTTCTTCCTTTTTTCTCCATATATGTGTGATATTTTTTTTTTTGCCTTGATGGTGCTTGAATTTGTTAAAAGTTGGCAATTTAACTGTTTACTGATACGTTAGAGACTATTGATGATGATGTAGAGATGGTTGACTGTTGATATATGAGAAGGAGTTAATCGGGGGGTGCGGTCAAATAAATACTAAATTAAAATATAGTAATTATTTAATTTTAGCCGACGTTTCCACCCACTTTGCAGGTCGTCTTCAGGGCTACAAAAGATACGAAACATGTTGAAAATAAAAATATAATATAGTAATATAAGTAGATATAAAATAAGAAGAAGTTGTCAGATACAGAAATTAAAAGATGATATCAGAGATATAGTGGGTGACAATGTAGTTAAAATATTAAGTATTATATATGTAGAAGATACAAACAAATGGAAAATAAGTATGAATAAAAATTTAAAAAAAGGAGAATATAGAATGTAAGTTAAAAGTAAACAGATTGCGATAAAAGATAAGGAATAAGTGTATAACAAACTAATAGAGATTACATTAGATAACTGTGGATTAACACATAAAGAAAATGAATGTTAACGAATAAATAGATTGAAAATTGAATGAGTATTGTTATAGTAAAGTTAAAATAAGAATAAGATAACATAATAATAAGATATCAGTGGATAACAAGCTAGTGGAGGTTACATTTGATTGTAGGTTAACAGATTACGGGACTATAGGTTAAGAAGTAAAGAAATTGAAAGATTAATAGGGTAACATTAGTGTGATATCGTTAGGATAGGTTATTAAGTATAAATAACTCTATAAGAAAACAATAATTTTAAAAGAGAACTTTAGAATGTAAGAATAAGTGTAAAACAAGATTATGATGATAAAAAACAAAACAAAAAAACAAGTTGTACTATATTTAAATGACAATTGATAGTTTTTTGAAAGCGGTAGAGGAATAGTAGGCTGCATGAAGATAATAATAAAGTGTATAGTTGAAGCATAGGTGTGTTAAGAAAAGAATCATTATAAAAGTCAAAACATACCGTAGGATGTAGCACTGCGGGAGGCAGTTGAAACACTGGCAGTGTCAAAAAAAGCTCAAGTAAGCAGTATCAAAAAATATAATATTGGGCAAAAATTGAATAATTACTATATTTTAATTTATTTGACCGCACCCCCTGATTAATTCCTTTTCATGTTAGAGACTCTTGGTTTTTTTTTTTAGTTTAGATTATAATTATTTGTTTGCAGTATTTGTTATAACTAGTATTATCGAGGAAACCTTACCTCCCGTCGCCAGACTAGCATTCTCTGGAGCCTGGTGGTATAGGGTCTCATTATCCACTGTGATAGCTGTTGGCATCGCAGCGGCTAACAAGCGCTGAGCGGGACACAATAGCTGGTAGCCACATATCACCACGCCATAGGCCCAAACAATCCGACCAGCCATCCTGCACAGGTAGAATTAACTTGTAGCAGTTTCATGTCCCGGCACTCCCCTGCCATTGTGCTCTATCATTGTTCTCCCCTTCAGTCACGGTTCGATAAATTGTCGAGCCTCGAATTCCATTCAATGCTTAATTAAATGGTATCTACCTGTCTTGTTAATTATATTTTAGAGGCTATTTTTTAGAAAAATCGGACTTCGATGTACTGTTTTAAAAATTCACATTTCTTCGTACTAAGGGCCATTTTCAATTCTCAATGAGTCCTCCATTAAATATTCATTATTAATGTCGCATTAATTTGTTCAGTGACTCAAGTTCCTCCAGAAATGACGTAGGGGAAACTCTAAAATAGCAGGACAATTTAATTTTTCACTGAACAAATTCATACTAAATTAATAATAAATATCTAATGGAGGACTCATTAAGACTTGAAAATGGCCAGTAGTATAATCGAAACGTCGTAATTAATAGCTAATAAATAAAATGTTAGTGAATAATGGCCTAATTTATATAAAAAATAAAACCTCTAGACACCACAATTTTAGGAAAAATGAACAGAATTCATAGTTCTTAACAATGCTAACTTACTCTAAAGGAGAAAGCAGACTTGCAGTAATTTACCCATGCTATCCAATTGTTTCCATTTAATAAATCTATCACTTGATCCCGAAATAAATTTCTAGATTTTAACTATCGAAATCTAAATTCAGAGAGTATCGGACAAGCTTCCAGGAAGTGATAGAGATCTTCTGTTTCGTTTGTATTACACTTGCTACAATTATTATTTGTTTGCTGGAAGTGTTTATAATTTAAGTTCAAAACATCAGCTCGCATTAATTTGCTCAGTGACTCCAGTTCCTCCAGAAATGACGTAGGGGAATATTCTAAAATAGCAGGACAATTTAATTCTTCACTGAACAAATTAATGCGACATTAATAATGAATATCTAATGGAGGACTCATTGAGACTTGAAATTGGACCTTAGTATGGTCGAAACGTCGTAATTAATAGCTAATAAAAAAAATGTCGGTGAACAATGGCCTAATTTATATAAAAAATAAAACCTCAAGACACCACAATTTTAGGAAAAATGAACAGAATTCATAGTTCTTAACAATGCTAACTTATCAAAAATCTTTGCATTTATACAATGACTATAAACATTATACAAAATACTCCAACAGATTTTATTCTTTTTGAGACAAAAATAGATCCGTTATTTATATTCACAATTAAACTCCATTTTGGTTACATTATAAAATTTTTGAATCTTCCATCACATAGATATCCAAAAATATTAGCACTACAGATAATTAAAAAAGAAATTGCATAGTTCGAATTTGGATGGAACATAGATCGAAAAACATATACAAAACTGGGGTAACTAACTTTTCATTTGAAAACTACAAAATACTTTTTCTGTTAAAAATTTAAATGTTTGATGATTAAAATTGTATTTTAAAAACAGAAAATATTTTAAATAAAGTATATTGAAATACATTTTTGCCCAGTTCTGGTAAGAATTATATAATATTAATTGATAAAATTCATTAACTCTACAACTCGCGAACGTTACGCAGTCGGTAAATTTAAAGCGCATTTTTATATTGAAAAGACTCAGTAAATCAAGATGATTGGAAGTTTAAGTGTTCAATATAAAATTTAAAAAAAACAAAAATATCTAAAACCCTTTAAATAATATAATATGAAGACATTTCGGAAAAAAGGAATAGTTTATAATTCATAAACTCATATTGTTTATTATACTGATTAAATATTGTAAATTTGCATAATTAATTCAATTTGCTGTTACAACAGTTATGATGCGGTAGTCGATCTCATCTTGGACCAATCCATTGCTTGATTATATTCCGTAATTATGAGCTGTAATATAATAATTTAATTAATAACCTATTGCTATTATCCGTTGGATACTATAATTACGTATGAATATATAAGGTAGTGGTTTAGTATAAATTAAATATTTAGTTAAATATATTAAATATTAATAACAATATTTTCTGATTTAAGTAGTTAACCACTATATTAAAAATACAATCATGTTTGTAGTTTAATTAATTTTTTATCACGTTATAAATATTGAATTTATTTATTAGTATTTTGTGAATTAAATATATCACATTGACATTTATTTATTAATTTTGTACCACATTCTTTGACGTTTTGCAGTGTTTCTGTCTTAATTAGAATTTTCTTAATAATTAAAAATTATCTTGTAGTTTATCGCTTCAACACATTAGCATGACTTTTCCATATTTATTTTAACAATTTCCTTTTCTGAAAAACATATGAATTCCACATATCCACGTGAATTATATTAATTATATTTTATTCACGTGGATGTGTGGAATTCGTATGTTTTTATAATAATAATAATAATAATAAAAGGCTTAGCGAACCCGAAGGTTCATTGCCGACACCACCAATCTCCTATTACACACCTCCCTCCACCGTTCGCCGTCCAACCCAGTCCCTTCAGATCAACTTTAATGCAACCTTCTTCCCACCTTCGCTTCGGCCTACCCTTCGAACGTTTACCATTCGGTACATTCGGTACAGCAAATATTACCTTTTTAGCAAAAATAAGAAATATTAAAAATAAAAAAATGATTGATGTATGGTGAACAATATATTAAATATAGAAGTTGTTTAGATGTAGAAATTGTTTTGCTAATGTATTAAAGTTATTAATTTAAAAATGGTTTTTAATTATAATTGAAATACAGCTAATCCTAATAATGAAAGAGCTCAACTCTTAAACAAGCTTAAAATAAGACATAAAATAAAATAAAAAAAACTTAATAAATAAAGTTATTTATTTTGAAATATTAAAAATATTAGTAAAATACAATTTACATGTTTTATTTATTTATTGTTTAGGTTATATATATATATTATATTGTTTAGGTTATGCTCAATTCTTAAAAAAAAATAACATGATACTTTTTTTTTTATTTTTCTTTTATTTGAAAAGTAATACATTCTGCCGCATTGGAGGGCATTAATATTAGCGCTACATCAAACATTCACACAATATATACATACAAATGATAACATAAGTAAAAAAAAAGAAAAAAAAAACTAGAGGAAAGAAAAAAATAGAGAAGAGCTAAATGAAATTAAAATATAGAAAACACATTCATACCTATATACAATATCATGATACTAGAAAAGATGTCGATAATGTATCACACTAACACATTTTCTTTTGATAATATGCAGTGCTATATGATTACTTTATCTAGTAATTATTATAGCAATCCGTGTTATTGAAGTTTTATTTATTCATTTCATTTAATTTAAGTATATATTTATTAAATAAGTTTTTTAATAGCATAGCATGCTGTATATTTTTATATAAATGTGATTTCAGTAATAAATGCATTAAAATCTAATAATTTTTGGTTATCTGAAATTTAATAAGTACTTTTACGCCTAACAACTAGTGTTGCCCAAATGCCAAACTCAGTCTTGGTCTCGGTCTTGGTCTTGAACAAGAGTCTTACAGTTACTTATTAGCTTATTGCTATAGAAATATTCTTGTAATTTTGTTGATAGGAGAAAACTAACTAAGCCTGAATGAAAAATTAGAGAAGTTAAATGCAAAAGTATATTGGTTATACCAATTATTAACATATACTAATTAAGATTGTCAAGTATTAGTAACTAGTTTGCCTTAATTTTATTTTAAAAAATCGACTTTTTTACCAGTCCTGGTATTGGTCTTACAACCGTTACTGGTCTTGCAAAGTGCAAGACCAAGACCGATTTAGGGCATCACTACTAACAACTACCAACTGCTTGAAGCGCCTGTAATCTAGAGATTTTTTTATCCGATGGCGCCTGAAGCAGCTTATATTCGGACCCTTGAGGATAAGATGGACCACTTGAGTAATGGAGATTAAGAAAATAGAAATATAAGTTGGGAGGAAATACAGATGGCTGCCCAGACTACAAAAAGCCAACGGCTTAATAAAAAAGTAAACGTTCTAGAAATTAACCTAAACATGTAATTTTATAGTAATATTTACACTATTAGACGTATTAATGTTGATTTCGGTGTGTGTGTTACATATACAATACAAAATTCAAAATAAACAAAAGTCAACTCAACGATTATTTACGACTAATACCTACAGAATAACACCTTAGGGTATTTTATAAATGTACCTAACATATTACAATTAAAATAATTTTTTCTGTAGTGTTACAATACATTACGTTCTGTAGTGTTTGTAATCTTATATATGAAAGTAAAAAAGCTGTAACTTCGTTAATATTAGTCCGAAAAGGACAGTTTTTATATAGTTTTATATAAAATTTCATTAAGGAAAAAACAAGTTTTTTTTTTGAAATAACGATCCCTCGAAAACCGTATATTGGAAATTTGACTAGATCGCTATACTTTTCTTATCTAGTATACGTAGGGAAGAAAGAAATTTAAACATATTTAGAAAATAGAATACACCGTATCTTCGCTACTTAATTACATTTCTATCCCCCAACAATAGCCCACTTATCCCTGTTGAACAAATGAGATACTTAGGACTCCACCTAGACAAACGACTCACTTGGAACCCTCACACTAGGCTGAAACGACTAGAAACCGCCCGACATTTTTGACTACTGCAGCACTTACTAGACAAACACTCTAAACTTCCAACAATTTATAAAAGACTCATATATATTACTGTAATAAGGCCTATTTGGACTTATGGGATATAGCTTTGGGACTCTACTAAACCATCAAATTCCTCTCGTATCTAATCCCTACAATCCAAAATCATTCTTAAAATCCACAATGTTTCTGAATTGGCCCAATCCAGATACCTATCCTTCCTTAACAAACTTCAAAACCATCCTCTCGTTTCAAATTTTGCTCCCTCTTCGATACGTGATAGCCCTCCGAGGTGTCTGAAAAACCTCGTGATCTGCTTATGTAAATATATTATTAGAGTGCTAGTAATGAATGGGTAGTTTC